TTTTTAATTATTAGCGATAAACATACAATTAAAAACATACATAAATGTATCATAAAACATTGGTACAACCGTACACCCATGTTACATATTAAACGCCTTGTTTAATTTACAGATTATATAATGTGTTAATTTATACAGAGTGATTCACCACGTATGCTTAGAGCTCAATCCAATGTATCTTATTTTACCATATACCTACATTTTAAAAGATACTTTGGGATTGAATAGCGTGGAGAATCACTCTGTAAGAAAAACGATACGATACAACAACACAATATTATGATCTCTAAATTGAACAAGGTTTTAATAATAATAATATGTAAATACAATATAATATAATAATATGTGTTCAACAACAGTGAACTATTGTATTTTGATTCACGATACATGTAAATACCTATATGTTTATTCTGAACAATTACAGTTGTATAATTGCTAAAAATTGAAAACATGAAGCATTATGCACGCTTATACATTTACTCCTGCAGAGTGAATTGATAAAGACCAGTTGAATAGTTAAAAAAAAATAATACCAACAGGCAATACGAAATTGCCAACAATTATTGTGTTTACTTACAACGAACTCGGTTATTAAAAATATTTATTAATCAAACTGTACACAAAGACCCTTTTCTATAGTGATTCTTCATTCTCGCCACGTATTGTGGCAATGTGCTATTTTTTTCTCTTCCATTTGCCCACTTTAATTACTATCTACTTTCATAATATACAATACACATCAATACCGCTTGACATTTCATTAAAATGAAAACTGTATAAACTAATTTTTTTAGATGGTGTTTAGAGCTAATAAATGTTTTAGTTTTTATTTCGTTGTCATTTGTTACAGATTATTCGCATAAATCTTGTCCAATCGTTTTTTATACATAGTTATTCGCCTCGCATACTCAGTAGCCAACAATTTTCAACTATGCATCCGTTTATATTCCGAGTTTAGAATATAAGGTAAGTTTAATTAGGGACAGTGTTTCAAGTAAAATTAAGTTGTTCACACTATTTAAAACATCTTTAAAATTTATGTCGTTCAAAAACTGCTAGGATTCAAAGTTAATTTTTGGAATCTTATAGAACAAAAAAATATTTTATACTGAGTATTGCTCCTGAAGAAGGATTTATTTGTAATGGAAGCGTAACAGTATACATTTAATAATATTTTAACGAACAGGTACGCATGGTATTTGAAATTACATTAAGTCATTATACATAAGTACCTAATTTAATTTAATTTCCATAATATTGAATCTTCATTTCGATTGAATAAGAAATGAGATTACCAATATTTACTCAATTGAATAATTGGATTTCTAACAGCTTTTTCCGTCTGTGTACAATGCACTTCATGAAAATTTCAAACCAACTTGTATGATGCAAATAAAAAACGAAACACAGTTTTACCAACCAAGTAAAAATATGTTTAGTTTTATTTCATAATCAGGACCTATACGATTATAATCTGCAAGAAAGGTGAATATAGATAATTCATTAATTCTTATCTAATATATTATAGAACAAATTAAATTACATAATATAGGTACACAATCTAGTTAAGAATTCGTTGACTGACTATTTTAAAGTTTTTTAAAAAATAGTTCTTTGATATATACTTTAAAAAAGCGCTAAAAGTTTAAAATACAGTAGAAATGATTGAATTTTAATTATTAAAACTACGAGTAACTATTATAGGTAGTAGGCACCATCATCAACATTGTAGACCACATATTTCATTTTTATTTATTTATTATGTTGATATATTTTTATTTTTAAAATGTTCTGTCAATACAACACAATACAATTTATGTAATCACTGCAGTTTTAATTGTTTTGAATTAATAATTATTAATAATATTACCTTTATATTGTATTATATTATAATATGTAACTACTACCTATACACAGTTATACAGATAACAGTATATTTTTCATTGTAAAAACTGTATACAAAGGCTTACAGCTGTTAATTTATGCAATGATTCACAATACAATTAAATACATCAGACCACATTATTTTATACACAATATACACGAACTCATCATTATGTAATTTAGAAAGTGTTAAAAGCACCAACTTCAAGTACGTACTTTTTGCTTCAGTCGTTTAACGTGTGTTAGTTTTCAAACCACATATTAAGTAAGTTTGACTCCACAAACAAAACATGAGAAAAAATTCAAAATAATCTGTGTATAAAACCTTATGAACACACCCAATATATTATATATATATATACAAAACGAAAAAGAAAACATTATTTTAATAAAGGTACAAATAAACAAAAGTTAAAAGAAGAAAGTAAAACCAAGATATGAAAAAGTAACGAAAAGAACAAAAGTTTATAAAACTAAAATTCAATAAGATGTCGAAAATTAATATCAGCTGTCTGAACATTACCACACCTATCCTGCGGCAGAGAAAAGCTGCTTTATTCTTAGGGTCTTATACTTTTATTGAATTTGCATACCTATATGTTACACAAATACATATGTATAAAATATATATGAATGAAAAAATGAACAGCTAGGTATAAATCCGCTTTACAATAAAATAAACTTCAATCTTATTTTTCGAGATCTGCTATACGTCTTTTCATTTCTTTGGTTTTATCAGGTTGACTCTGATATATTTTGTATTTTTACAACATTTCATGTCAGTTTAATATACATTTTTGACTTAAAATTAATTTTCTCTGTAAGTTACAATATTTAAATACGCCACATATAATTATTAGGTAAGACTTGTTGGAATCCGGTGATATTATTATTTGAATGTATAATAATATATAATATATTATAATATAGTCATGCCACGGAAATATAATTAAAAATAAATAATTAATCTTAATATTATTGTACTAATACAAAATCGTTTTGAATAAAATATATTTTTGGTCATTGTTGTGTTGCTAAATATGTGTACATGCATCAATCAATCTTGTTTTATTGTGGATTTATGTTTTTGACTTATTTCTGGATGTGGATTTGTAGCCTTCTGGCTTCTGGCTTCTGGGTTAATGCCTAAAAATTAAATGATGACAAAAATCAAATTTTTTAAAATATTATTGCTCTTACCTACGTGAAGTCACCAAAATATATTTTCAATACATACCTATATAATAATAGTATACACTATTGTACTTTGCTTTGCTTTGGGAGGGGTTGCTATGCCGTTTACTATTCCAGGCTTGTGCCTCTACTAGTGGATGGATTTTGGGGTTGATTGGTAGGTTCAGTTATGTAAGTCAGTCCAATTTAATGGGTATGGTTTGAGTAAACGTTTGGTGGTTGGAGGGGAGTGGGTTTTACCTAAGAGGCGGATATGATCGTATTCGGAAAAAGAGTTATTGTAGAACATTGTTTTTGATTGAGAGCAAATGGAATTTTGGATAGATTTGAAGTTGGCTGATTTTAAAAGGACCGAGTTTCTAACGATAGTGGGCATACCGGTTATCGTGCGACACTATTGTAACGGGATAAACCGTCACTATATCAAAATGGTCCTTTTCAGGACCACCTAACACAACAGTATGGCAACGTAATACGACACAAGTAATAGACGCGACATATTAGAATAAGTAGTTTGTCAACAGGAAAGTTTCACGGAAATAACAAGCGAAAACCACATTAACAAAACGAACACCAACGGGTCGAGGTGTGGTTATTGCTTGTCAAAGCAACCAGCCTCGACCAATCACAGGACAACAAAGAGAAACAAATAGTATATATACCGGGACAGTTCACCGGTCAAATCATCATCATCATCATCATCATCATCATCAGTATATCATCATCGATGGGAAAAGCGTTAAGAGCAGCAGCAGTTCCAGCTAGTTCCAGCAGTTCCAGCAGTTCCAGCAGTTCCAGCAGTTCCAGCAGTTCCAGCGCTACTGTCCCAGCATCCCAAGCAACATCGTACGATCCCGTGCGCAACCCTTGATGAGCATCGCCACAATTGATCACACGCTTCAACATACCGACCAAACATTGAAACGCACCTCCGCTCTACAGCACTCATACCATTGTAAGTAAAAAATTTTATTACGCCCCCTCCGACCACGAGGCAAGTGCACCTGAGGGGTGCACGTAGCCGGGTCTAGCACCGGGACGCACTCCCATTATTCGCCAGCGTCAAACCACCGTCATGGGAAACCATCGCGGAGGCACACGTCGCAAGAAAATCAACTCACCAACCCACATGAAGCTCCGACACCGGGAAGTTCCGTCCTCAACTGAACAAGACAACCAACTTCCAGAGGAAAAATCACCAACTCCTACTTCATTATCCATCGGCTCAGCTGACAGCTGGGATAGCAGTGAATCCTCACGCTCTCTCACTCCAGTAACACCAGAAACCAAACCTTCAAAAATTACCCCCAACTCAACCCGAACTCCGCTACCTCCGCCAATCATACTTCCAGCCTCAGCATGGCGTAACACCGCACCACTGATATTTCAAAACCCAAACTTCTCCGCTATCGGGCTCACCGCTAAATCCACAGCTGAAGGAAAAATTTTTATTAAAACCGCAGACGCTGCTCAATTCCGACAAGTACAAAAAATCCTACTTACAAAAAACATCGAATTCCACACCTTCACTCTCGCTGCTGACCGCCAACTCAAAATTGTACTCAAAGGCATCCCCACTGATGTCACAACTGATGAACTCCAAGCCGAACTTGAGGCACTCAACTTCAAAGTTCAACTAATCAGACGTTTTGGCACTACTGACAAACCTATGCCCTTATGTCTGGTCATCCTTTCCGGCCCACAAGCCAAAGAAATCTTCGAATTATCTGAATTATTTTATCTCAAAATCAGCGTCGAAGCCTACAAAAAAACCGGACCCTCTCAATGCCATACATGCCAAAAATTCGGCCATGGCTCCCAAAACTGCGGCAACGCACCACGTTGCGTTAAATGTGCCGGCTCTCACTTGACAAACGCATGCAACAAGACTCTTGACCAAACACCGACTTGCAGTAACTGTGATGGTCCACATACAGCAAACTTCCGTGGATGTCCTGCATACAAAAAAAATCGTAAACATCCAAACTGCCAAGCAAACCACTCCCAAGGAACTTCCAAAAGATCAACTCTCCGCAACTCATACGACTACACCAGATAATTCTATCTCCTTACCCAAACCGGGTCCTAAGCATCTAGACTACGCAAGTGCCACCAAGAACAAGCATACTATTAACAACGAAAAAGTCGTAACCCTTCTGTCAGAGCTTCTCACGGCTATCTCTTCGGCGGAAGACCCCAAAGCAGTTATCTCCTTAACAATAAAATCCTTTATATCTCTCTTAACCAATAACAATGAATAACTTAAAAATTATTCATTGGAACTCAAACGGAATCACAAAACGACTAAACGAACTCCAGGCTCTTGCATCCACATTAAAAATTGACATTATTCTCCTAAGTGAAACTCGACTCAAACCTTCGGCGAAGCTAAAAATCCCAAACTACTTCACTTACAGAACAGACCTGCCTCCGATACGAGGATCTCCCGCTCACGGAGGAACGGCTGTATTAGTTCACCGGAGAATAGTTCATACCCCAATATCTCTTCAAACCAAACTCCAATCAACATCTATTAAAATTAAAATAGCCAACGCCGAAATAACCATAAGCTCAATATACAAACCACCACAGGTCCCCCTTGAACCCTCTGACCTAGATACCATAACCAACACCGCAGAATGGTTCATCGCTGCTGGAGACTTCAACTGCAAACACACTATGTGGCACAGCCGCGTTTCAAATCCTTCTGGTCGAATCCTCTTCAATCATCTTTCTCAAAACGACTACGTCATAGTGGCACCTAGCACTCCAACTCATTTTCCAACATACATCGGTCACCGTCCGGACATCCTAGACATAGCTTTAATCAGAACTCCGTTGCTCACTCGTCAAACTAATTTAAATCAACTGTCCTCAGACCACAACCCAATCCTTCTAGAGTTTTCCAGCTCCCCCATAACATCTTCACCGCCTACACAAGGTAAACAAGTAAACTGGAAAAAATTCTCTACCTTACTCTCCAATGATACTACAAACACTCACCCATGCACTGCCTCCATCCAGGATATAGATCATGCTATATCAGCTTTCACAGAAACCATAAAATCGGCGGTCGAAGAATGCGCTTACCAATCCATAACAGGACGGAAAAGGAACACCCTCCCATCTGAAATTCTTAATGAAATAAAGGCCAAGAACAGGCTACGACGGGAGTGGCAACTAAACAGAGATCCAGCGGTCAAATCCAGGCTGAACGCTAAAACGAAATTTATCAGATCTATTTTAAAAACTTATAAACAAGACGAGTGGGACAGGTTTCTTACCTCCCTTGACACTAGTGACGGATCACTATTCAAAATTAACAAAAGCTTACTCAACAAAAAACCAGCGATTCATCCTCTCCGAGGCCCAAACGGTCTAATTTACGACGCAAAAGCTAAAGCTGAACTCATAGCGGAATCCCTAGAAAGACAATTTAAGCCAAACCCCGGCCCAAACATCTTAGAAGTAGAAGAAACGGCTCACAACATCCGTACTTCACCTGTCGCTTCTTCCGACCTCTACACAACACCCGGTTCAGTTCAACTAATCATCAAACACTTGCCTAAAAAGAAAGCTCCCGGTGAAGATCTCATAACAAATACAGCTCTAAAGCTCCTCCCTAAGAATAAACTATTGACCCTTACAAACATCTTAAATGGATGTTTAAGACTCAATTATTTCCCTTCCACATGGAAAAAAGCAGTCATAATCTCGATCCACAAACCGGGTAAAGACCACTCTCTTCCTGAAAACTACCGCCCTATTGCCTTGCTGTCCTCCATTTCAAAAGTCTACGAAAGGGTAATCCTTGAAAACATCCAAAAAACCACTTCTAAAACAACTAGGAAAGAGCAGTTTGCATTTCGTCCAGGTCACTCGACGGTTCATCAATTGACCAATCTGATAGATGATATAACTGTCAATTGGAACTCTAAAATAAATACAGCCTCAGTTTTTATTGACGTGGAAAAAGCTTTTGATAAAGTTTGGCACGATGGCCTCCTCTTCAAAATGAACAAAATGCATATCCACCCTGCTTTAATCAAAATCATACACTCATTCCTTGAAAACCGAACATTTGCAGTCAAACAAGAAGACCAAACATCTACAAGCCGCCCAATCCTCTCTGGAGTACCCCAAGGCTCATGTCTTTCACCCACCCTATTCCTAATATATACAAATGATATACCATTAATTCCAAAGGCAAACCTAGCGTTATTTGCTGATGACACAATGTTTTCCGCCCAAAACCATAACGCCAGATGGGCAGCATTCATACTGCAAAAACAAGTAGATCTGGCCGCAGAATGGTTCAATCGATGGCGCCTAAAGATAAATGAACAAAAAACCGTCGCACTACTTTTCGGAAACAAAAACACCAAAAATATTCCTCCTATTAAAATTAACGATCACCCAATAAAATGGTCTGATAACGTGAAATACCTCGGTGTAACACTTAACAGACGCCTTGGTGTAACACAGCACATAAACTCCATCATAAAAAGAGCCACCATTGTCAGGGGCATATTATACCCCCTAATCAATAAGAAAAGCCCAATACCCTTAAAAACTAAAATCTTAATTCTCAAAATGTATGTCATCCCTATTCTAACATATGCTGGTGCAGCTTGGGCTCCCCTTGTTTCGACACACCGATGGAAACAAATTGAGGCTGTACAAACAATTGGCCTCCGCACCATCACGGGCAACCCCACGTTTGTCAGGAATGAAATTCTACGCGGCTCCGCAGGATTAAAAACCATCAGAGAAACCATTACCAGTCAGGCTTCTGCGATGTTTCACAAGAACTCCTACTCTAAGTACCCACATATAAGAAACCTCGGTCACAAACCTGGTGAAACACGTCGTAAAATCCCAAAAAATCGTCCGTTAAAATGGGCAACCACTAATTAATACCCATACATCACTCAAAAAAAAAAAAAAAAAAAAAAAAAAAAAAAAATTTTCAACCCACTGGTATAGGCTAAACGCCTGGCACAGTAAATATGCCCTAGGGCAGCCACACAAGCAAAGCAAAGCAAAGCGGTCAAATCATCTTCCACACCAATCTTCCACACCAGTCTTCAACATATCTTCTACAAGTCAACAAACACTATAGAAGACCTGAAGACCTGAAGACCCGAAGACTATCAACGCAGCAGCAACACCGACCTGAACGACGCCGGCGAAGCTGATCCGACCTAGCCAGTCCACGACGACGCACCCTGAACGCACCGGTCTAGCGTGATCGCTCGATACCGCCGAGACTCTACAGTACCCGGCATACCTGGCCAACAAGCGCCACTTCACCGACCGACGACGCCAAGCCTACCGTGTGCATCCAGCGATCGACGGCAACGGATAGCCGCCACACCGGGACCTGACTAATCCATCGACGGCAACGTATAATACAATTATACCCCGGCGACTTACTACTGTCAGTCCACCCGTTCAATCGAGTCCAGTCACGCCGTTGGACGAACACCAAGACACGCCGGGAACCGACTTCGCGACGTAGCTTGGCCAATCGACTATTCATCAAGCCGACAAGTAATACCACGTTCCCCCCTACGGTGAGCTTATTCGAGTTTCACCGCGAGGAAGAACCGAACCCACACGACTTGCTCGAGTCCGTGCACGGACGGTTCCTACTCTCCCCTATTATTGTATTATTTCTACAATACGTATAGGCAAGTCCCGACTATTGTTTTGCTCGCGCCTCTTCAGGCCCGAACCCGCCCGCCGCGGCCGCTTCTTCAAGCCTGCCGCGCGGCCCGGGATAACTTGCCCCGATCATTATAAACATTATTTATTGGTTATATAATAAACGATACCATAACGATACACAACGCATTGTTATTCACGATCACGGACGTCCCGGAAAGACGCTCCGTATCACTATTTACTAATCCAACTCTCCATACAGGTTTAAAAATTACAATCATAGACAAATAAGAGGTAATTCTCGTCTTGAGTTCTTAAACCACTTTCATAAATAAACTAGCTGGCTAGTCTCATAATCCCCGGGGATTCCCGAGACAGCTATAAATAAATCGTTGACGTACTGACGTGTTCTGCTGAACGATTAAAACAATATAATATACAATTAACAATCAAACAAAATAGGTTGTGACGTAGTGTCAGCAATTGGTTTCATGATTCAGTCAATCAATTTTTTTTTATTTATTCTTCAAGAAGATGCCCATTGAACATATTCTTGTGGGGGTCTATGAGCTCACAATTTTAAATATAAGTTCATTAAATAGTTCATATAAATTACAATTTGTAATATACAATCCTCACATAACCATAATATTAATATAAGTAAATATATATTTTCTTCTCTTTGTTTATATAATATAATATTATAATATAGTATTATAAAAAGGTAAACAATTGTGTAGTTAAATAATACAATATAATAATATGGTAGTATGAAACTAAAATTAACAATTATTACTAAAGTCGTACATCTAATATGATAAATTCATTTATATTGATATAATCATTAACCAATTACCAAGTATTCTTATTTCTTATTGTAGATACCCAAGGTTACAGATTGTATACATCTTTAACAAAAAAACCAATCAATACATATTATTATTCATTATTTGTGCTCAAAATGTGTAAAGCCTTACGTGTAAAGCACATATTAATTAAACTATTTTATCTGGTGGAGTAATATTATTACTATTACATTACTTAATAAAAATATTTTATAAAATTCTGCGTAATAAATCACATTTCCAATATCACTGGATCCAGCAACGTTTGTTGTATTTAATAATTTAATGCAATTTTTTCTACCACAACTAATTAATATGTACACTGTACAATGATTTTTTTACACTTATATTATGAATACTGTTTCACGTGTACCTACCTACATGTGTTACTCATACATAATATTAATAGTATATAGTTAAAATATGAATGTTCTTAAATCACTATGTTAATCTTAGTGTTTTTTTTACAGGTTAAATATAGCTAGTTGTATTAATACATTCAAGGTGATATTTATTGAATACGAAAAAGGAGGTAGTTTATTTCAAAACACTCTATTTACAATTATTCGAAATTCGCTTTATATTATTTTTAAATGGTTTGAATAGTAAAATTAATTATTATTTCACAAAAAGTCTAATGGATTTCATCATAATTGACTGTTTCTATCAATTTCCTGCTATAAAAAGTATGGAGTCAAAAAGGACTTTTATACTCACATAACGTGTATTGAGATGTATAATAATAGTAC